TAATAACTCAGGAATGAAAACTTTGAAATTCAATCAAATAGATAGTCTAGGTATAACAAAAAGTTTACAGATTCTGTTAGATCATTCTTCCTTTGGAGGCAGTTTACTTTCCAACTCCCGATTTTTAGAACTTCATCTATATTTTAAGGGAGCAAATTAGACTAACTCAATATATTTGAGTGAAAAATGTTTGCAGTTTCATCAGAGGCACTCATAATTGGGAATACCTATTACAATTTATTGGCATACTTTTACACAAGGACTTTGATTTACAGTGCTTTTTCACATTTCTTGGCTCTGAATTTTAATGTAGTGTTAAGTTCAGAAACTATTTTCTGCTATGAGATTTATTTGGTGTCTTTTCAAAAGCTAAGCCCCAAAGTTGGCACTTCTGAACAAACTACCAACACTTCTAATGAGAGTATTTCTGATTATTTGTATTTGTTAAGAATTCTTTAAGATGAATGAGCTCAAAGAATATTCCATTTATGCCTCAATTTCTGTAGTCCAACTTGGTAGAAAATATACATTTTTAATAGCAATAATTTATTAGATAATATTTTAAGAGACTTTTACCCAAAATGAATAAATCTAGTGAAACAATATCTTCCTACTGGCTAGCTTGCCAAAAAGCAATCTCTGGTCAGAATTCTTACTAATGGAGATTTACAATATGTTTTTAAAAGAAATTTTTGGACAATAGGAAAAGAAGCTAGAAGAAGTGTATATCACAATGATACATTTGACAAGTAACACACAGTCAATTAAAAAAATCAATTCTAGTAAATTTCAAGACTACTTAAGTTCAAAATAAGCCCCCCATCCAATTTTTAAAACACAGTCTGAGTATTTTGTGCCATTTCAAAATTTTAGCATTACTGACCTAGCACAAGTTATTTTCTAGTTTTCCGACGGACCTGAGTAGATAGTTCTGTCATTCTCTGAGTGAATTTCAATATCACAAGTAACCTAACAAAAGTTATGTTTACGAGCAGTAAGTTTCCACAGACTAATTAAAATGTTGATCTTATTTGGTTTGGGTTGAAAAAGAAAATAATCTCATTGCACTAGCATTGATTATATGCTCAAATCTTTGACGGTAAACAAATTTAATTGTAATATAGAGAAAGATACAGTTTATTTGTTAATTAAGTTACTCAAAGAGTTTAAATCACTTCTCTAGAGCATTTTACCAGGGAGTATTTAAATCATATTATTTCTGTGATTCATTTATTAATTTAACTTAACTTCATTTATTCATTGGTTTACCCAGTGATTAATCATAAAGACCTTTACTGAGCACCTATCATATTCTCTATCCTGGGCCTACAAAGATAAATATCATATTTTCTGTAGCCTACTAGGACAAATAGCCCAGTAGGGTAGAGATATAGTTTAAAAAGTAATTATGATACAATATACTTAAGATATGTGCAAAGTGATATGGTACCCCAAACAGAGAATGGCTGACTTTGCCTAGTGTTAGGCCAAGAAAGATGTTATAAAGGAGTTTGATTTGGATCTTCAGGATGAATAGGAATTCTCTAAGTGAACTGAGAGTCGATCTAGGAAGAGTTAATTGCATGTAGTTCAAAAGATCACCGCAAGTTCAAAGAACTCAAGTGGTTCTTTGTGGTTAAAGAGCAGCCTTCGAGTGAGGAGCATATGAAAGGCATTGTTGGAATGGTGAGCAAGAGACAGAACAAAATCCACTCCTGAGGAGCTGGCTCTTAGTCCTGATCTTTAATTTCTGACATTTTTTGTCTCCATAATTTTCACTATAGTAGAGGTCACATGTGGTGTGAGACCTAAAATTAAGGCCCAATATTGTGTGCTACCTTGACATCTGCTAGCATTGAGAGAGCCTCAAATGGCCTAATTGCAAGTTCCCCTCTTCACTCTGCTCCTGCAGATACGGTTCTCTAGCCAAACAACCCTCCTTATCCAACTGACCAGGTGCAATTCCTGAGTATACCTTAGTAATAGGTTCCAGTTCAAACAAGCCAATCATATCCTTTGGTGGAACCAGGGGCACATTACTCTCTGGATACCCACAACCCCTGGTTGTTCCTTATTGCGACGTCCATGTGGCCCTGCACGTTTTGTGGTGTCCCCCTTCCCTGGACTGTGAGTATATGTGACTAATAAACTGTCGTGGATTTTATCTGTATAGTGTCAAGGGTTATGTAACCATCTATCCCTGTAACACAAGGAAAGGAACCGCCCCCCCATTAACAAGATGAACAGGAGGTGATTGAAACAGCATGCCAGGAAAATACTAAACCATCTGAACACCAGTGAAGAGTTATTTTTGTGAAATTTTCAGTTCCCTGCCAATCATTTCTCATGAGTAATCATAATTTTAAAGAATGAAGAAAGAAAGCACAAAATAGATTTTTGTTATGGTAAGAAAGAAGCAATCTTGAATGTTTTTATTAGGTTATCATAACAAACCTTCCAAATTTTGTTACTTAATACAGAAAAGTGGATTTTGAAAACAAAAATTTCCAGACAATATTTACCTGTATGAGCTATTAAAACATGGGATAGTAAAATTTTATCTTTTAAAGTCACTTTTCTGAATTCTTAGGGGTATATCCCATGCCAAAATGGCAGTTCTAGCATCTCGACCTGGTAATTCCCAATTCTTAGGGGGTATGTCCCATGCCAAAATGGCAGTTCTAGCATCTGGACCTGGTACCTCTTGGTCAAGGCTAATAGTTCTGGATGGAGATCCCTGGTTGTTAGAAGGGGGAAAAGAGATTTTGATGAGCAATGGATTCCATGGTTTCACAATTGGCGTAACACCTTCTATCAGGATATATCTACCACAGAATGGGAATAAAGAAATGAGAAATACGAGGTAAATCTAAATAAGAGGAGAGGGGAACCTGTAATTCTAAAAAGTTATATAATACACGACAATAGAGAACTGAGTCTTTCATTTGTCTGTTTATAAATCTACCGGAACATATATATTCAAGTGACGATATTTCTCTTGAAAATAACTGCATTGTGCCTACAATTGCTTATTGCATTTTTGGTAACCTCTTTTATAACTGTCTTCAGAACCCATGGCATATATTTTTTCTGTAACCTTTCTGGCTGTAGATTTTCAAATTTTGAAAGTACACTGAAACTAGATTGCTTGAAAAATTTCCTGTTGTAAAATACCTATAATCGACGATCAATTTAAAAAATGCATTAAAAAACAAGTCAAACCACATGAAATTGACATCTTGGCAAGTGTTTTTCAGTTAAATACTGACAATTTTATGTGTATTCAGCCCAGTATAATGCTGAGTTCACTAAAAAAAAAAACAAAAAACCAAAACAAAAACAAAAAGAACCCAAAAGGCAGGGGAAATCCCCAAGGGTCAAATACTAAAAGCAGGCTGAAATTCAGAACGTTTGTCATGGTGCTGATGCTCTGGTAAAATAGAGAACGGGAATTGCATCCCCATTAAGAGGTCAGGATTTTTGAATTGTCACACTCTCAGTTGCAAGAAGAATGATAACATTTTTTTTTTTCCAAAGGGAAATGACAATCCTGCTTTTTTTTATTTTTATTTTTTTAGAGACAGTGTCTTACTCTGTTGCCCAGTCTGGAGTGCAGTGGTGTGATCAGGGCTCACTGTAGCCTCGAACTCCTGGGCTCAAACATCTTCCTGCCTCAGTCTCTCAAGTTTCTGAAACTACAGGTGTATGTCACCACATTCAGCTAATTTTTAAAATTTTTTATAGAGATGAGATCTCACTGTGTTGCCCAGGCTGTTCTTGAACTCCTGGGTTCAAGTGATCCTTCTGCCTCCGCCTCCCAAAGTGCTAAGGTTACAGGTGTGAGCCACCGTGAATGGTCATAACATTTTCTTATAGCAATCTAGGCTTAGGGTAGGAAAAAATGACCTTTAGTCACGAGCCTACCCTGAGACAGGTTTGAGATTTAATTTATACAATCTCTGTGATAAAATATGTGCTGAAAATTGAAATTTGAATTAATTTTAAATTAGCTTGCCTTATTCTGCTTCTGCAAATAGAGAAGTAGCTTGTATTGGACCAACTGTTTTACAGATAACAATGATAAACTCTGGATAAGAATATAAAAAACTATCTGAAGGTACTGAAGAATGACCAAGGCAGGTAGAAACTGCAGTAGAGTCAACGCTTGCAAGAAAAATATGGCACTAGGTTGGTTTCTAGATTTTATAGTTTTTCACCTTATGGGTAGTCCCTCGTCTGGTCACAGTGAAGTAGTGAAAATTCAGCAACAACCCAGCAGACTTATTAGATGAGGAAACAGAGAACAGTGTAAGGTCATACAGAAACTAGAAAATGAGGGGAGAATCTGGAAAAGAGAGTGCCAAATGGAGCCCTAAATGTTGTAGATAAACTCTGCCCAAATCTCTGGATGACTATTGAATGTGCCCATTAGACCCAGCAGAGGAGAAAACAATGAAATAGAGATTTTGCCTAGTTCCCATCATTAGGGAGACAGGGAGTTTGAAGCCAAATTGGCTGTATAAGCAAAAAGAACAAAGCTGGAGGCATCATGATACCTGATTTCAAACTATACTACAAGGCTACAGTAATCAAAACAGCATGGTACTGGTACCAAAAGAGATATATAGAGCAATGGAACAGAACAGTGGCCTTAGAAATAATGCCACACATCTGCAACCATCTGATCTTTGACAAACCTGACAAAAACAAGCAATGGGGAAAGGATTCCCTATTTAATAAATGAAGTTGGGAAAACTGGCTAGCCATATGCAGAAAACTGAAACTGGACCCCTTCCTTACACCTTATACAAAAATTCAATCAAGATGGATTAAAGATTTAAACTTAAGACCTACAAGAAAAATGTCTTTATGTTAAAGAATAGTTCATCAAATATTTTTTCTTGGAATATTCATACATACAAGGCTTTCTTTGAAGAGACTTTTCTACTCCAGTTGTATGACTAGAAACCTCATATAAGAACTATTTCATTTATCACTAGGCACTAGATGAACCAGCCAAGACTGAAAGTGTCTCCAAGGACAACACATTAGAACCACCAGTGGAGGTAATAACTTCAGATTACCCCTGCTTTTGGTATGCAATCCCAAAACTTATTGCTAACCCAGTACCTGGTTTCAATTCTTCCAGCTGTATTTCCCTGCACAGCTCAGGCAGCAAACTGAAGAGCTCTGTGCTACCATTGATAAGGTCTTACAGGATTCCTTGTCTATGGTAATGCCTTAGACTAGAATATGCAATTCAAACATTTGCTTTGCTTCTCTTCATTTTCCTCTACTTTAGTATGATGCCTCACAGGCTTGTTCTTTTCTTTCCTTTTCTCTTCTTCCTTCCTTCCTTTCTTTTTTTCCAGCATTCTTCTGATTCTCCTTCAAGGTCCCCAAAGACATTGTTGGGTTCTGACACAGTCAAAGTATGTATGTATTTAATATAATTTATGGAACCATAAGATTTATTAGATCAATGATTTCCAAACTGCAAGTCAAGGTCCAATAGTGAATTGAGAAATAAATTTAGTGAATAGCAATCAGTCTTTTTTGTAGAATTTTAAAGATAGCAAATATTAGACTTGGTTTCAAGTAATGTATAGGTTTTGTTGACATTTGATTATATGTACACATATAATGCAAGGTAAGTCTATACAGGGTTGCAAAGTAAAATCTATTTCTGTGGGTCAAGTTCAAAACAATTTGAAAGCCAACATATTAGACTATTTTTTTTTACGTTGACATTTAGAATGTATAATTTGTGGCTCATTCTCACTCAAATTATAGATTCAATATTTATGGAATTTATAGTCACTTAAAAATAGAGAAGTAAAAAATGAAGTAGACTAAAGTAAAATTAGTCTAAGAGGTTTAACAGAAGTAATATTTCTAGAATTTTTTTCTTTTTGCTGATTGAATTTATTTCGTTATTCTTTGACTCAAAGGGAAATAAAACTGGATATTTTAGATTGTTAGAGTACTACTAAACTATTAATTGTTGTAATTGTGTACATATTTCCTTCTTATAAAATAGTTATTTTCATTTGTTATTATAAAATACTACATTTCTCCAAATTATTTTTTTCAAACAGTTAAGCTCTACTCATCTAAATTTCAAAATGCCTATGATTTTTCCTTTACTGATAATTGTTAGTTATTAGTTACTGTTTTTCTTTTTTTTGGTCAGCCTTATTTATTTATTTCCTTGGAATTAGTATACTTTTTTCCTGTCCTTTCTTAAAACATGGGACACTGTGCATCTAAAGTAATTTTCAAATGTACAGAACTGTACATAACTAGAAGAGTAATCCTAATTTTCAATTGGAATATTATCAATAAATATCCATTAGTAATGACATATAAAACCCAGTAAACAATTGTTATCATATTAATTATATTTTAGCAGAGGACCCACAAATGGATAATTATAATTTCTGTATTTGAAGTCTATTTTGTTATATATCCTTTAAGCCTTTTAATATAAAACTTTGATTTGTCAGATATTATATCAATTTTAAAATATATATTTTTTCTTATTTCATTTGTTGAACATGTAAAAGACCTGTATTATATTAAATATAATGAGAATGGGATTTAAGAAGTTATATATGGATAATAATCTACATTACTGGTTTCTTTAACAAATATTTAATGCTTATGGTGTTAAAAAAAACCCAGTATTTTAGGCTACTTCGTTCAAGGCAATTTTTCGTTCAACAGGTATTTATTAAGCACCTACTGTAAGTCTGGTACTGCAAGGCACTAGGAACATAAGCAAGGCTGAGTAACCTAAGGCACATGCTTTGAATGTAGTGATCAAGGGGTAGAATTCAAGCTGAGACCCAAAGGTGGAAAAGAGCCAGCAACAGAAATTTTGATCAGGAATAATAGCTTTCAGGTACAGAAACAGGCATGTGTAAATTTCCTGAAGCATGAAAGAGCTTAGTGTGTATGAAGATAAAGAAGACAGCCAATGTGCTTGCTGTACACTGAGCTAGGGATGAACAGTGCAAATGATGTTGAGAAACTGGGTTAAGCACAGTAATTTAAACACTTATTTGCCATGGCATGAAGCTTTTATTCCAAAGAAAATGGGGAGACATAAAACCATAGTGGGAATAATATGAAACTATAGAAGATGATCAATATGGCTGCTGTGAGGAGGCTCCTGCAGTCAGGGAAACAGTCAGTGGTGGTGTGGTCTGAATAGGGTGGGTTCAGAAGAGCTAGAGAGAAGCATGACCGTTTGAGGCTTGCCGAGAGTTTGGGTGCGGGTAGTGAAGGAGAGAGAAGAATCATGAATGAACTACAGGTCTCTGCTTTGAGGATGGACAACAACGAAGGAAGAGCTGTATAGTGGCAGGCAGAGGGTTATGTCAGTTTTAGACAAGGATGAGCTTGAAGTGCTTATCAAGAAAGCTTAAACCTGTGTGTTTGAAGCTGATCGGAGATATTTGAGCGTCATTTGCACATAGACATTGTAAGTGTCCTGTACAGAGCTCCAAGGAACATAACATCACAGGTCTGAAAAAGGAGATGGAGAGCCAGTAAATGATAATGAAAAGGCTTTTATGGTAAGAGGGAAGTCAGAGCAGTGTGATATCATGGAAGCTATAGAAGAGAGTGTTTCGAATATAATGATGTTGATTGCGGCCAAGGGTCAGAGAAAGATAAGTCTAAAGGAATGTTTATTAGATTTGACTTGTATATTTTGAAACCATATTGCTGGTGCTTGTGTGTTGGCATTCATTCTCGTTTTTGAGTTTTTAGAAGCTTTATCGGCATATATAATCATTTTTTAACTTAAGGTTTTCCTTCTGAGTATTAATATAGTGACTTTTTATTTATAATTTCTAATTGTTGTTTTCCTAGATGTATCATTTACTGTTACTTTACTTTTTTTCATACCCTTTTGTCTAATTTTCTTCAGAACAGCGTATTTCTGGATATAATTTTTACAGTCAATCAGATTCTATTTACCAGGGACCTTAAGCCACTTATAATTATTGCAATTCTTATTATGTTAGGGTGAATTTTTGCTATCTATTTCGTGTTTTCTATTTAAAATGTTTTTATTTCTCTTGTTTTTTTTTTTTCTGCTTTCCTTAGGCAATTTTGATATTTACTAGTTTAAACATCTTGAAAATTTTACTTTATATCTTGTTACTTCTGGTAGTTACATGTACATTCTTAAAGACAATTATTATGCTTAATTTTGTATCAATTTTAAAACGTATAAATGTTTTCCCCAACATTTTGTAAGCACTATAGCACTTTTCACTTTCTACTTGTTTTTAATCAACCTGTATATAAAAACACAAGCACATACACATACAATTTATTAGTATTGTTTTGAACTTTATGTCTGAACACTTCTTGATCTTTCCTTTGTTTAGATACTTATTTCTGATTTAGATCCTTATTTTGCACACATTCAAAGCTTTTTCCTGGGTTTATTGTTTTTCTTGTTGGAATCTTGCTTCAAGTTGTATAAAGCAAGATCTTTTTGTGTAGATTTTGTGAGCTCTGTCCATGATAACATCTTTATTTTGCCTTTTCGTTTAAATTATAGTTTTGCTGCAAATAAAATTGTAGGTCCTCTTTCTTCAACATTTTCCCCCTAGGTTTCTTTTTCTTCAACAGCATACTTATGAATTATTTTGCCAGCATGATACTCGTTCCTCGGCTATAGAGTGATCATTTACAGAATTGCTGTATAAGCTTTTCTGTATAAAACTTTATCTTTATGTATGATCTTACAGATATTTTTTATGATGTATCTAGGCAGGCATTTTTTTCTTGTATATTTTGATTGTTACCCTTTATGACCTTTCATATGAAGTCTTTGATCTTTTCTTTCCCTTTTAATCATTATTTTTGCAAATATTTATTCCCACATGGGACTCTTATAATACTGATTTTGTCACTTTTGATTGTGTATTTCATGTCTCTTACTCTTCATATTTTTCTATTTATTATTTTCTAATTCCTTCAAGAGGAATCCTTGATCTAATGTTCCAGTTCAAGATTTTGTTCAGTATCTATTCTTTCCTTCAATTCCTGTCTTACATTCTTTGTTGAAGCTGACATAATTTTTTCTTCTAAATAAGATTTATTGAGGCATAATGTAATCACTGTAAACTCCATCTTTTTAGTTTACAGTTCTGAGTTTTGACAAAAGAATCCAATCATATAATTACTACCTCATTCCAAACAAAACATTTCCATCAACTGAAAAAGTTCCCTGTGCTCCTTTTTAGTATATACTTCCCTCTAACCCAAGTCCTGGGAAACCACTTATCTTTTCATGTGTTCCTATGCTTTTGCCTTTTCAAGAATATCATATAAATGTAATTATATAGTCTGTAGTCACTTTAGCCTTTACTTAGTAGAAGGCATTTGAAATTCATCCACATATCATTGCATGGATCAGTAGCTCTCTCTTTTTTTTTTTAATTGCTGATTAGTAGTCCACTGTGTGGATGTTCCATCCTTTGTTTATCTATTCACCAGTTAATAGATGGTTGGGTTATTTCTAATTTGGAGCTATTACTAATAAAGCTTCCAAGAACGTTTGTAAACAAGACTTTGTATGGATATATGATTTCACTTATCTTGGGTAAATACTTAGGAGTGGAATAGAGGAACCATTGTTTTCTTTTATAGTATTTAAGTTTTTCAGATGTCTTATTATGTTTCCATGGAAACTCAAATTTCCCTGAGCATGTCAACTAAGTTGGGTGTATATATGCCTGGTTCCTGGGGTGGCAGGTCCTGAAACCCAAGTCCTAGCACTTGTCAATTCTGGTGAGGTTTATTTATTTATTCTTTAAGAGCAGGAGGAGCATGTGCTTCAGAAGGGAGAAGTGCCATAGTATCAACCAGTTCCCACTTGCCACTTCCTCTCCACCCTGGTGACCCTGACCCTCCTTTCTGCCTCCCTGCACCTCTGCTTATGGTATATTCTTCTCTTCCAATAGCTGTCCCAGTCATCACTGCTAAGCAAGGGATCAAGGGAAAGATTCATCAGAAGCTGGCCAGTTGTTGAAACCTATAGTTAACTATTTTCTCCCCGAAGGCTGAAGGACCACTTTGATATTGTCTTCATTGTTACCTCTTTTTACTACCCTCAGATTTTAGTAGTCCCTCACTTCACCCCATTGATCTTATCTCTGATGTTTAAATGTGTTGTGGCATGAGAAAGCAGGGATAGAATATGTAAAAATAAAACAAAACAACTATTTTGAAATGTTTGGCTGTTAAAAGGAAAAGGAAATTAGGTTGGTAGTAAGGTCAAGAAAGAATTTTTTGTTTTGTGAAGCTGAAAATGACAGATCAAATTTGCATGTGGTGGCATTGGTCTCAGCAGAGAAAGAAGTACTAATTCTAGAGAAGAAGGGGAAATAAAGGTCTGAATATTTGTGCCCCACCCACCTACTGAGAATTCATATGTTGAAATATATGAAGGTATTATCAGATGGGGCCATTAGGAAATGATTGGGTCATGAGGATGGGGACCTTATGAATGGGGTAAGTTCCCTTACAAAACAGTCCTGAGAGAAACCTCTTACCCTTTCCACCATGTAAAGACATACAAGACGGCCTCATCTATGAACCAGAAGTGGGCCCTCACCAGACACCAAATCTGCTAGTGCCTAGATTTTAGACCTCTTAGTCTCCAGAACTGTGGAAAATAAACTTCTGTTGTTTATAAGCCACTCAGTCAATGATATTTGTGATAGTGGCCCAAATGTGCTAAGACCATTTGATAATAAGCTGGAAATGTCCTTCATTGTAACAGGATGGAAAATAAAGGACATGACAGCTACAGATGCAAGAATGTTTGTAGTTTGGTGGAAGAGAAATAATTTTATAACCAATATCTTTAGTTATTTCATAACTAACACCTTTCAATGAAGTAAAATGTAAGATCATTAACTAAGATTGAGGGGAGAAGGTGTGATAGGGATGAATTTTAAAAAGTTAAAAAATGTTTATATATTCTACTTTCAATTCCTTTTCTCCAGTTTCCTCTTAAATCTCCTTTTTTATGTCACCAAAACCACTTTTTCCAAGGTTCCTGAAGTCCTCTGCATTGCAATAAACCCAGTCCTGAGTTGAGATGACAGCAACAGAATTTGAGACAGTTGCTCACACCCTCCTCTTTGATACATTTTCCCTCTACAGTATTTTAGAATGCCTTACTCTATCTGTTTTTCCTCTATCTCCCTTTTTGTTATTATTTCTTAGTCTCCTTTGCTGGTTCATCTTCTTCTTCACAAACTGTTAATGTTGGAATGCTCTAGTCATGAGTCCTCAAACATCTCATTTCTCTGTATATTCATTCCTTTGGTGATCTCACTCTGTTTTATGTTATAAAAACTAACTACATATATGCTGACAACTCTATTTCTAGTCCACGATTCTCTCTCAAACTGCAGACTTCCAAATACCTACTCTTTATTTCCATTTAGACTTCTAACAAATGTCTTATCCTCAATATGCATACAAATAAAATCTAGATTTTCTCTGACAAAATGATTCCATATGTTGCCTTCTCATCTCCATTGGTAGAATTTCACTCTTTCATTTGCTCAAGGCCAAAAACGTTGGTGTCAGGTTTTATTCTTCTCCTCCTCTCACATTTCACATCTCTTCTATAGAAATCCTGTTTCTACAGCTTCAGAATATGTCGACTATGGTTATTTCATGGCTTCTGCACTACTGAGCCACTGTGTTTTGTTGGATAGTACAAGAGTTTTGTCCCTATACCTCTGACTCACAATAGTTTATTCTTAACACATGAAATGCAGAGAACCTTTTAAAGCATAAGTCAGATCATGACCCTCCTCTATTTAAAGCCAGAAGTGCTGACACATTTCCCTCAGAATATAAGCAAAGTCCTCACAAGGTCCTGGAAGGGCCTGTATGGTCTGGTGCCCCAATGCTTCTGTGATTGCCTTTTTCTTCCAACTCTCTCCTTTACTCACTCCATCCCAGCCCACTAGCCTCCTTCTTGTGCCTTGGATGTGTCAAGCATGCTCCTGTCTTAGCACATTAGTTTCTTTTCAAATCAGTTATATCACTGATCTTTTTATAGTTTCTATCATACTGTGAAAAATGTTCTGCCTTCATCTCCAAAATCATGGTTAAGTATGGTTGTTTTCAGTCTGGTTCTGAAAAGACACATGTCTTAATCTCTGGGGGTCTTTTTTTTTTTTTTTTTGGTTGTTTATTATTTCCGCTCATCCTCATTCACATTGTCTTGCCTTTTTGTGTATCTGAATCTGATGGTATGCTAGATATCCTATTTGAAAATTTCTTAATAGAAATGGAGACTTCATATGATATTACCTTTCCATAGAAAGTCTTTTTTTGTTGTTTCTGTCAGACACTGGGAGCACTAGCAAGAAAAAACTACCTGAATTTAATTTAAGGTTCTGAGATTATTTTTTTCTGGACAGTCATCTTCAGATGATTTGATACCAGGCTGAAGACTATGTGAGTCTTCTGGGTCACTCTTACTCCTAGGGACCCAATCTGTTCTTGGCAAGTCCTGGTTGACTTTTCTCTATATATACCTGTGAGATATCAAAAGTTTGGGTTAGCTTCTCAAGCAACTCATCATTATTTGCAAACATCCCCAGGGCAAAAGCAGTTCTGAAATGCTGAACTTCTCTGTTCAGGTTCCCATCCTCTTTTGATTTTGCCCAGCAATTATTAGCTCTCTTTTTAGTTCATTGATGTATTTGATTAAATATTTTTCAATATATTGGTCAGTTTTTTATTGTCCTTTATGGAAAGATTATTTCCAGTTTTCTATCCACAATTATCAGTGGAGAAAATCCACCTTAGAAACTTTGCACTTGTTCCCTCTTGTTAGAATGCTCTTTATTTAGAATACCACACACTCAACTCCCTTACTCCTTCAAGTCGTTGAAGTCTCCTTCAGATGTCACCTTCTCAACACTGATCATCTAATTTAAAATTGTAAACTCCCAGCACTCTTGACCTCCTTAACATCTAGGTGGTCCAGAAAAATATGAGGTATTTTATAGAAGCAAATAAATTTTTATCTGGAAGTGCATATATTGCCCTAGGCTTCAAATTATTTCTACTCTTTTTCATTGCATTTATTCCTTTCTAACATATAATTTACTTATTTATGATTTCATTGCTTATTTCTCTTCTTCCAGAATGTGAACTCCTTAATGGTGGGACATTTTTTCTCTTCTGTTTACCAATAAGTCCCAGGGGTGTAGAACAGTGACTGGCACACAGTAGATGCACAATAAATATGTGTTGAGTGGATGAATGAATCAAATAGCTATTTCATCTCAGAAAGTGGGCCTACAAAAGCAGAATTTGGGGCAGTACCAAATGCACATTTGAAATTGATAATTATTAATTTAAAATAAAATTAATTAATTTGTTTGAAAGAGTTTCTCCAACAATGTTTTGCATCTCAGATACAAGTGTGGAGAAAAATGGATGGCAAGGCCAATTTAGGGTTGAGTTCTTTTTTTTGGAAGTGAACTTGTCACAGGAAGAGAGAAGATAAAAAAATAAAAGTATTAAAATGACTTATAATATTAAATAATACGAGCTAAGAGGTAAAGCCGGAATAACGCTGATGAAGGTCAGTGATTTGGAAGTCCCAATGATGTGGATGTTGTACTAGCAGCACTAGAGAAATGAAGATGATGGATAGGAGGTAGAGGTCTGAGTGTGGGACATTTGTAATTGAAATTTCTGAGAGTTTCTGTTTTACTGGCGAAGGTAAAATTAAGGAGCTTTCTGGGAGTGAATGATTGAAATGGAGTAGATGAGAACATCTTTGGAATTGAGGAGCTCAAAAAGTTGAAAAGACAGAGATTTCTACATGAGTTTTGAAATAGGCAAAAATTACAGAAGAAATGTGAGGAAAGAACTATTATGATCTATGAGTTAACATCATCAATAAATAAGGAGAAATTAGCAGAAAGTTGATAGATAAAGTCAGTGAAAAGAATAATCAAGTGATATCATTTTATAAAATAATTTTCAAAAAAAGATATTGTATAGAGAGACCAATGTTTAGAAAGTCTCAATTGAGAAGAAGGTGAACACATTCCAGACGTTAAGTCTATTATTATTTACTTTATTATTTCAGAAGTATAATTGTTTTTATCTTCATACAGACTCCCACAACTCTTCCAAGAGCAGCTGGTCGAGAAACCAAATATGTAAGTACCTTTATAATTATACACACTGTTTTTCAAATGGGTGCCTGTGTATACTTTGGAGAGAACACAATTATACAGTAATTTAAATAGAATTAATTGATTTTTTAAATAAGTTAAAGGGTAGGATGATATGATTGGCTCAGATACAGAAAATCAGGTTATGTCAGAGATAAAACATCAGGTATGCTTATCAAATAAATTTGTTCTTAACTGAGATCTAGTTGGATTAGTTTAGCTAAATAAAACAGAACTGCCACACCTGCTTCCTGATTTTCTAGTTATCAACACTTAGATGACATTTTCATTTTTGTAATGGTTTATTATGCTTATCGAATAGTCAACTCATATACTTGAAATATTAAGATTTTTCCATTTCTAATGGGATTGCCAGTTTAATCAACTTTGACTATTTTGTTGCTTTCCTGCATTTAAATTATTAACAAATAAACCAATTTCCACTTTTGAGCAAAAACAGATCGATCATGGATAGATATAGACTCACATTCAAGTCAAATAATTATGAGTAGCTGGCTCTGAGTGTGTTAGACATACACATGCATAGCCTCATCCCAACTCCAGTGTTCACTCACCTAATAATTGTATTTTCCATCATGTGGTCAACTTCTGCTTCTGACCAAATGTATTCTAGTAGAAACAAGATTAACTCCTTAGTAAGTGTTTAGTTTTAAGTCTAAAACAAATTAGTAAACTATTCCATTTAAGTTACGCATTTGTAGTTTTTATCATAATTATGAAGAGTAAATAGTTATTAAATGTGTATTTTGTGCCATATCATCATTGTAATTTATACAGTTCTTCCTCCATTTGAATCTCCCCAAGGAAAGTAATAAACTGGGTGAAATTACTAAATTTTATAACATCCAGAAAATCGTGTTCAGAGGATGTGGGTAGGAACACTGCTTAGACCATTTTCTGGAAGTTTCACTGTTATTTTTCATTATTATTGGAAGCCATTGAGAGTAATACTTAAAAATAATGAAGGCATTTAGTAGACTAGACCCAAGTTTAAAATCAGTGTTGCTTTTAGGTAGCTATCTGATTCTGGGAAAATTACTCACCATTTAACCTTTCTGTGCCTTTGTTTCTTCATCTATGAAATGGGGATACTAATAATTTTCTTATGTAAGATTTATATTAGCTAATCTATGAAAAGCCCTTAATGCAATCCTGATACAAAGGAATTGCTCGATAACTAAAAGCTTTTTCTTTCCTTTCCCTTTTTCCTTTATTCACACCTCCTTTCTTCTCTTCCTCTTATCTATCTTTGGAAGACTAGAAGTATCTTGATTTAATTGAATTCCTTGATTCGTTATTGGGTACAAGAAAAGAAACTTTCCTAAAGGTGTTTCTATACTTTTTGTGACTAATACATTTTACAAGAGCCAGACCCCAAAAAAGTCACTGGAATTTTTGCTCTGTCACTCACCTTCTTATCTTACCTACTCTGGCATTTCAGCAAAATGTCTCTAATTAGATTAGTTTTCAATAGGTTCAGAGAGTTGTTGTCATTATCCATTCCTCTCTGGGAGTGGTTAATTTGGTAGCAATTGAAATGATTCTGGAGCGACTTCTTCAATCTCCATAGTTAGAAATTATTTGAAATTATTCTTTACTTTCAATCAATTATCATACTTAATTAAAACATGTTAACTTTCATGCCTTTAATGTTGTGAGAGCATTTAAGTTATTCAAAGTTAAGAATGAACCATCAAACAGCTTCAGTATAGGCCAGAACAAATATAAACTCTAATTCAGATAAGATTCTTGACCTTAATTAAAATTCGTTTCTTGAGTAAGAAGCTTTGTTTTTACTTTATTTTACAACATGACATTTGAATTGTTGTTTGTGGCCCCTAAAATACGTCCGTGTCTTTTGGAAGACCATAAGGGATCATTTTACAACGAAAGGTCAAAACTAGTTTGGCGCCGACTCTCGGATTAGTCATATTTGTACATATTCGGCTGTAGTTATTACAATTTACTAGGTGATGTCTGATACATTTAGTTTGAGGAGAAAAGATTAAATTTTAGAGCAGAAGTCCACTTTAGCTATAAGCTTTAGTCTTGAGTGAACAAGAGCTTATCTTGTATGTCTTAAATACAGTATGTTCTGATTTTTTAAAAAGAATGACACTGTAATATTTTCTTCTAAAAATTCTAATATTTGTATTGACTCAGTTATGGGATGTCTCACTTTAAGTATGAGTTTACTAGCTGTGATTTAATTAATTCATTTATCACTATATACTTCTCTCTTTCCCATGACAACTAAAAAGCGACTCTGAGAAGTCTATTTCTGTAACATTTCAATATTTCACCATCTGTCTTCAAACTTTGGAGAAAGTTGTCATCTTCAGAGTATATACCTGCTGGGACTCAGTGAGTCCTTGACTTTGTAAATATTCTTAGATTAAATTCAAAGGCAGGGATCATGCAGGTTACCAACTCCTATACCACAGAGGAGGTTGAATAAAGGGAAGACATAAATTAGAGCCAAGAAAAAAAAGTTTGGTTACACTTGAGGATATCCTGAACAAGTTAGTACTGACCACCTAAAATTCCTATTTGTGGAGGCTCTTTAAAAGTATATCTGATTGCTACACATTATATGTCTCAAAACACCACTATGCAGCCCATGGATGTGTACAATGATTATTTGTCAATTAAAAAATAAAATTAAAAAGATATAGTATATAATCTATGGATCAAGACTAGTAGAAAAACCAGTCACTATTTCTAGCCCTGTTATTCAGTTTTCCACCACTATTCATTGATTCAACAAATATTTATTGAGTGTCTACCAAGTACCATTCACTGAGGAGTCACTGGGGTGAGAGGAGTGAACACAATGACAGGATGCCAATTTCTGAAGCATATATTCCAATGATAAGACAGATAGTAAACAGTTAAAATAGTAAATGAGCAAGAAACTTTATTGTAGAAATAGAGAGGAGGTAGCCAGAGAACCTATTGATGTTAAAACCAACTTACAAATTTGCTAGTTTTCAATGTATTCATAGGTTTTCCAGTTTTCCTGGGATAATTATAATGGTTTAATAAAAGAATAAGAAAGTGTATGGCTAATTCCGCTTTATAGGCCTTTGGTGAAAGACTGTCTTCTCTGGAAAAAAAAAAGAAAAAAAGAAAAATAAACAAGGAAAATCAACTCACAATAATGTTTCTTTCTTTGGGTCTTTATTGCACATATTGTGACATTTCATACAGTCTGTTTTTTAGGATGAGCCAGGTGCAGTAAGAGCAACACTAATTCAGACTAATTAAAGTAAAGGTTTTCTCCAGTCTGTGGTGGTCTTAAAATGCAGGCTATTTTAAAATAATTTAATTGAGATTCTTTTAAGTGTAATAGAATTGAAACTGGGCTAACAATATGTTGAACAGGGAGTGAGCCTTTGGTCACTTGCAGGATTGATTAATTTATTTCATTCGATTATTTTAAAAAGATGCTAAATTCAACAATAATAATAACTAATATTTTGAGCTCTTACCTTGAAAATAAAGCTTAACTATCTCATTTAAACCGTATACCAAAACTATGAGGTGGGTATTATTATTTTAAAATCTCCATCATACTGAGGGGGAAAACAAGTCTGAGAAGTCAGAGTAGGCAAAACCCAACCCAAGTTTTCTTCATGTCAAAGTTTCTGCCATTGATACTTCTATATACTTGTAGAAGTGTAAGTACATATGGAAATAGTTTGCATTCTTTAAATATTTTATCCATTCATATTTATACCCTGGCTCCAAATTATTTCTTCATGCCCAATAACCTTCAGCCTAAACTTAGAAAGAATAATTTCATATTTGGTCATATTAACATCTCAAATGATAGTGATTTACTCTTTCCAGGGTTTCAAATCATGAGCTTAAATGTACATTAACTCATAATATATCAGATAAGGTATAAGAGAGTTATTTCTTATTGAAAATCATTTTTAAAGTTTATTTCCTTCATGTAAATAAATAGATTTCCTTTCTAAACAAATTTTTAATATATTTATTTTTGTGGGTACATAGTAGTTATATATGGAGTACATGAGATATTTTGATATAGGAACGCAATGCATAATAATTACATCGTGGAAAATGGGGTATCTGTGCCCTCAAGCTTTTATTCTTTGTGTTACAAATAATCTGATTATACTCTTTTAGTTATTTTAAAATGTACGATAAAATTATTATTGACTATAGTCACTTGGTTGTGCTATCAAATACTATGTCTTGTTAATTCTTTCTATTTTTTTTGTACTCAATAACCATCCCTACCTCCCCACCCCAAAGCAACTCCCACCATTCTCAGCCTCTGGTAACCATTCTTCTACTCTCTATCTCCATGAGTTCAATTGTTTTGATTTTCAGATCCCACAAATAAGTGAGAACATGTGTTGCTTGTCTTTCTGTGCCTGGCTTATTTCATTTAACATAATGACCTCCAGTTCCATACATGTTGTAGCAAATGACAAGATCTCATTCTTTATAATGGCTGAATAGTACTCCACTGTGTATAAGTACCATGTTTTCTTTATTCATTCACCTGTTAAAGGACACTTAGGTTGCTTCTAAATCTTAGATATTGTAAACAGTGCTGTGGCAAACATGTGAGTGCAGATACCTCTTTAATATACTTATTTTCTTTCTTTTGGGCATATAACCAGCAGTGGGATTGTTGGATCATACATGGCAGCTCTTTCTTTTTCATTTTCTGAGGAACCTTGAAGTTGTTCTTTATAGTGGTCGTACTAATTGGTGGTGTACAGTCCCACCGACAGTATACGAGGGTTCCCTTTTCTCCATATGCTCATAAGCGTTTGTGATTGCCTGTCTTTTGGATTAAACCCATTTTAACTGGAGTGAGATAATATCTCAGTGTAGTTTTGATTAGCATTTCTCTGATGATCAGTGATGTTGAGCATCTTTTCATATGCCTGTTTGCCATTCGGATGTCTCCTTTTGAGAAATGT